GCTGTCCGTCGGATCTTGGGTTCCAACTGACTGCTAGGGCCACTATATGACCGTATGCCACTTAACAACCTAAAATTCTAACGCGACTCCGTCAAACAGTAAGGGGCGTTTTCAGCATTTAAGGGTCTTCTTCTACCTGAAAGTAATTACGTCCTCACATTTATCTCTTTCTTAAATCACCTAGGAGTTAAATCATTAAGCACCTAGTGATCACTGACCATACGGTCGACCAAAAGGTTGCATTTAAGACCGTACTTCGGCCGACGATCGGGCGTCCCCTACGATTTGCGTAGGCCGCTGCAATATGGAGAAAAAAATCAGAACTCTGTAAGCAGCTGGATCGTGTGATCAATCTGCTTTGATCGTAAACTCATTCCCGCTCACGCCTATTCTTCCCCCTTAGGACTGACTGCAGCCCTCTACTAAGTCTGTTTATTAAACGTGCTCTCTGGGCGCTAAAAAATAAAATTTATTCATGTGTTGCAATGTTCCTCTAATCTAAGCTTTTAATGCGACATGGTATCCCCCGTTCTTCTACATATTCGATGTAGCCTCAAAATAACTATGACAGAAAATAAACACATATGGGAAAATGTCTGGCTCGAAGTTTTTTAGGGTAAGACACCATGGCAACAAACGGAACAGTAGCCACTGATACGATGAGGAATGATGGTGTATATGGCGAAAAGTAAAGTTTGGGCAGCTGGAGAAATTTAGCTGCCCTAAGGATGTCTTTTTATGAAGTCTTTCGATCTTAGATATAAAATGACGTTTGACGTACAACAGTATCTAGGCAGGATTCTTCTTTGCACGAATAGTATGGGTTCCGTTCATCAAAAGCACTCAGTAATTAGATCTTCGCATTGAGAAATTTACAAGTGACGTTCAGTGTGACTTAGAGTTAGACAATTTCTTAGGAATTTACAGTGTGGATGTGCAAGAGAGTTATAGATATTAGGATGAAATGGACTCCCTTGTGGGGGGAGATGGACTTAAGTGAATAACTAGACAAGGGAAAAATCAGGTACATTGGATGAAATTTCAAGCGCCCTCTTAGTTCCAGTAGCACGACATGTATTGAAAAAATGGCTGATCAGGGAAACGGCCGGTTGTTTCTCTGCGTAGAGTTGAAGCTGATCACGACGAAGGGGAGTGTGATTTACTTCTTTAAATGCCATGCCTTTTCACCCCATCTTCTAGTTGACTGGCTGACTGGCAATAGAATTGGATGGATCCACCTGAAAAGACAGCGAAGGTAATTGAGTGGCCTAAAGGCTGCTTAGACAGCGCGTGGTCAGCCGCAGCCGAAATATATCCTACTGTTCAAGGGACAGCAAGTGGAAAAGAAGATCAAACACTACGTAAATGGGTAAAATTCCTATTATCCTTTTCATATTCGAAAATCGAACTGGAATATGTTTAAACTTCTCTGCCGACCATTACAAGGATCGATAATTAAACAAGGGGCAGTACTGATATTTATTAGTGTTGGAGCAGAATAGCGACCTAGGTTCGTTAATACACATCCTCCTCGCCTATCGAAAAGTTGCAGTTAAGTCGTTCCGGTATGACTGATTTGAGCGCTGTGGAAACTCGGCTATTACGATGTAGCATCATCGTTGGCACGGAAACCAAAGCCAACCTGAAAAGATCCGGCGAACCTAGGTACCGAGATAAGGTTTCTTTACAACACGGAAAAACAATCTTGACTGTATGATGGCGCCCTTCGTAAATGTTACCCTTCCTCTCCTTCTAGGCTTGATTAAATTGGTTTGTAACCTCGTGGAAAATAGATATCACGAAATGACCATTCCTACACATTTACTGAGGTTCAAAATAATGCGCTGTATCTTTACTAGCAACTCTTTTAACCTAGCCACATTTACAAAAGAACATACAATTTTGGCATAAGATTGCACTTAACCCCATTGGTATTCACTGGGATTGCGAGTAAATCTAAAGCCACGGGATATTTCACTCGAATTAAATTCGTGCTTACCATATGAGAAGAGGGTAGGCTTTGTAATCTGAGTACCTATTTCATTTTTGCTGGCCCCATAAGGTTATTATAATTTAGTACACGAGGCTGAATTTTCGTTCATACATTGTCAATACGTGACGCCCTCCTACGGACGTACCAAACTACGACGCAAGGTGACCATGGCTCTGTCCGAAGTGCGCTTCGTCATTTGTTTATGTTGCAATAGTGCCCCTACAAAGAGCCACTTGGTAGATGCACTGGATGGAAGCCAAATGAACGCACAGCACACATTACTGAGGTGCGCATCCAATAACAAATGCTATTCATTGGAGAGAGAGTAGTGGCACATCTAGGCGCATGCTCACGCCGTGCCAGCCAAAGTAAGTGGTCCTCCTACTAACTTATTTACGCCTTCTCTTCAAGACAGGGACTGTGTGCATAGGAGGCGAATGAAGACTTGGTTTTTGTGCTAGAACAGCCCAGCACGCGAGTTATCACTCGCGCCGTCCTGAGAGTACCAGAACAAAGGAATATTAGATGCCACCGCTAGAGACAGACAGAACGGGATAAGAAAGCAACCTCCAAACGGTCGACACACGAGGACGCAATGACAGCCGCTGGCTGAATTCTGAGGTCACACATGACAAGGGGCCATGAAAGGATGCATGCACATGCGCGCGTCACAGTGGCGCGACGGGTCACGCTCAGGACACCACGCGAGGACGCAAAGGAATTCTGTGCAAGCCACCGGACTTTCACAATGAGGTCGCCGCAGGATGGCTCCCTGCATGGGCTACTGGGGGAGGGCTAATAGGGAACAAAGGCCGTTGGTCCTTAAATACGCTGCCACTGACACGAGGCCGCATTCTGCTGCTGGGACACGAGACCTGTTGGCCCACACGAGACGCGCTACCGACGACGGAAGACACACTGCTGACGACAGAGTATACGCTGCTCATGGACACACAGAAGAGGGAGCTGATGTACTAGCAGGAACTGTGACAATGAAGTATTATCTGCTATCCTCTTCTGCCTTCTCTTCCTAACACGTAACTGGGGGATATAACCAGTGTCGATGCAGGGAACCCCAAGGTTTTAAAACTTTCCAACTGGCCTTGCTCAAGAATAATTTTCCAGTAAAGTATACTAGTTCAGGTTCAATCAAGGCCATCCCTGTCTGCCAGGTCAGCATCGCAAGCATTGCTCGGGCTCACCCGGAGGAGTCAGCTTGGATACATTAGGCATGATCTCCGTCAGAACACCGACGAATCCGAATCTACTGCCGCCACAGCCTCATTGTAGACAACAAATAGTTTTGTTTAGCACAGAATCCATTTGGATACATTCAGTCAAGACATATGGCACGGTTACTGGGACTTTGGTTTTCATTCTTTTCCTGACAGAGTTCTACTGATCTGCTGCTTCTGCTGCTGACGATGGTCGCGCGTAGTGAAACGCCAATTGCAAAATTACGGTCCATCAGGTCATGCCTGATCAAAACCGCACAAAGTACCAGGGAGCATGTTGTAAAGAGGATCCACCCTTCTTCCACAGCATATGCATTTAGTCTCGAACGGTCGAATAGTTTATTTATCACAATAGCTAGGACTTCTGAGTAATTGCTAATCTAAATTCCAGTGTACGACCACCCTTTATATACCACTTATTGTTGAAGGATCTTCATATGTAAATTGCCCTAAAGACCTACTTACAAACGTACTTCTACGAGTGGTGATTGATTTGCTCGTTATATTGTGCATGGGCAGGCTTACAGTGTACTTTAACGAAAGTCTCCGCGGTTACGCCGATTCTTCCCGTTTTCGGAATTTGCCGCTAAAAAGATTGTATTACTGAATAAATTACTATTGCTCTTAATATTTCTTGTTTTAAATTTGCTTAGGGTTATTCATTATTTTCAAGCTCTATCACATTCGCTGTTTCCGGTCTGCGAGTGATTAGCATTTTTTCGTGAATTTCAGCATTCTGTATGTTAGGCCACACCCTGTATGTTTTCGATTGGAAAGGAGTGCGTATTGGGTTTTTATTATCGATTATCGTGTAGTATAATTCCTCGAACTTTCAATCGCGACAGAATGATAGCTATTGAACGAGTTTCTTGCCGGTTAGCTGCCGGCGCATCCGATAAAAAGGATTGCGATACTGTATGTTGTGTAAGTACACATTTTAAAATTTAAAAGTCTCATAGATCTGAATAGCTATTTAAATTGTAAATTGTATAATACTTAAGTAGGTTACCAGAACAAACCTTATTCAAAAGCCGGCATCCCGGCATGAATTAAATATCTCGGGGTTACCGCAGCTGGACACTCATTTCTACTCGAAAGCATATTTTATAATTCAAGTAAACACTTCAGGAGTTAGATCAGCTACTGCACATATGATATTCAGGCGTTTTTCACGAGTTCATGGTATTTGCAGATAAGACTGCTTTTTTCATTACCGAAAACTAGAAACTTCTTTAAAATTTTGTTTCTACTTGCCTTGACGGTATTTTATTGGTCACTTTTGTGCGTGCGCATCTGAATCCTAAAGACAGGCGATGGTTAAGAAATCGAAACTCTACTGGCTTGATGAATGTGTGGTTAATGAACTAGTTCCGGTAATTAGAACAATCCAAGGAAAGCAGGTAATGAAAAGGACTACAAACTTGCCTTTGATTTCCCCATCAAATTGTGAATTGAACCGAACTGGGGCTAAAAGTAGAGGAGATTTTAAACAGTGGGATTATTGACAGATAAGCAACAGACCTGTTCACCGAAGCGCTCTGTAAACAGTTCTGGAAATGTAGGGGAACAGAAACCTCCAGTTCTGATCAAGCTTATGTTGATGGTCCTACGTTAAGTGTCAAGGAGATCAGGATAACGCTAGGGTTGGCGTTGACATTGGCCAGTACTAGGGTCAAGATAAGGGTTGTTGCTCGGGTTGAGGGTTATGTTTAGGATAAGGGTTAGAGTTAAGTTTTAGGCTCTGGAAATGTAGGGGAACAGAAACCTCCAGTCCTGATCAAGCTTATGTTGATGGTCCTACGTTAAGTGTCAAGGAGATCAGGATAACGCTAGGGTTGGCGTTGACATTGGCCAGTACTAGGGTCAAGATAAGGGTTGTTGCTTGGGTTGAGGGTTATGTTTAGGATAAGGGTTAGAGTTAAGGTTTAGGCTAGGATACCAGCTAGGACTAGCATACGAAATATGTACTCATTTTTGGAATTCAACGCAAGATCGCCTCTACTGCTAAGATGGTTGTTGTCCTCGTGTAAAAAACCCATTTCAAATCTTAAAATAAAACATCGGAATTCACAATCGCAAATGGGATCCCTAAAGATAGGGCCTATTTTCAGACATGAACTCACCGACTGAGCTATAGGTTCCGCTTCGAAAGTTGAGTCCTCGTTAATCAAGTTGAAGGCGGCTTCGCTAACGACAACGTGCGTAGGCGGTGAAAAGTTAAGCAGATCACGCACTCTGTCTGCCAGACCTCCCAAGAGGCAAAACCTAAATTTGAGGGGAATTCAGCGTCTTTTCAAAACCGTAGTTCCAGCCTGATGAATGCATATTTTAGCAAAAAAATTAACATTCTAACTCAGTAATGGTCTTAACCAAATCATTTGAAACGACTCCGAGAAAGGACCATCGAGAATTTAGGAGATTTTCTTGGATTTATTTTTCTCTGCCTCTTGTCCACCGGCGACCTACATGTCTGCATAAACCTTCGGTAATTCAAACGATGGAGGCCATATGGACGTACTCAGTCTAAACTGCTCCCGCTTCATCGGCAACTAACCATCATCAGCATTCCATTTTGGCTCCTTAGATGTCGGGGCCCTGCGGAAACTGATGCTTCTTTGCGAGATTTCATGTTATGCACATTAGCGATCACGAGCGAACTATACACACATTTCATTATCACCTTCTAAACGGCTATTGTAGTATTAGTCTATTCTACACATTTATCTAATTTTTCCTAAGCAGTATTTTTTATCCCACACAATTTTTGAAAATGGAGGCACATTGAACTTTGTCTCCATTTTCGTGGTAGGAGTTTTTCTTAACTACCTATTTTCTAGTTCACCTTTAATTGAAAAACATCGCCAAATATTGCCCTAAAAGGACAATTCTGCAAACATTATTACAAATTTGTACATTTTGCCTGCGCATATCATCATAATTTTTACAAAACTAGGTTTTTTTTAGCTAGTGTCTTTCTGGCGCTAACAAATATAAATTCCAAATATATTAGCACACATGGCCGCAATGTACTGTGTCTTGTTTCACCGGTATTTTGACTAACCAATGAGCGTGCATCGTGACGGTAACTTTGACTAGCGACTTGCCCACGTATTTTTTCGTGTTTAATTTGATTATTCGTCATTAACTTTTTATATAATTTAAAAATCCGGTCAAAATATGGCGTTTAGGAGGTCGTCTACTTCAACTTACCTGAGGTCCAACTTACCGTGCTGGAGTTAGTTTATATTAGTTCGCGGCGCGTAGCGCCGCGCACACCTCAAATTTACATGGCCTACAATTTACATGGCAAAAAAATCATTTACAGTGCAACAAATGAATAATTACATTACCCCTGGCAAGACGTAACATTGGATTTTAGCCTACTTGAACTAGCCAATAGGCGCTCGCACCTCTACTTTGACACCGGTGAAAATAGTACAAATAGCCTCTCCCGCAAAGCTGCGCCTCTCACGTGTGCCAGTGGCAGTCTGCTCCTTGACAAATCACAGCTCTCTAAATAGACAAATCACTTTAATGGCCGACTCAAACATGTCCTCGTTCAAAGTGCTCTGACGCCTCCTTCGCTTGTCTTTGTTGGCTGCCAACTTATTCCTGCCTGTTTCCAAATCATTCTGTACAAACTGTATTGCCCTTGCAGCTAGTGTCCAACAACGTCTTCGGATCGGCTCGTAGCGGCTAGGATCTACCTGTGACGTAAGTTGCCATGACAGCTGAAAATCACAATTTCCGATTACTTTTTTTTACCCAAAATGACCAGCTGCTGTCCCACGCTTGCCAAGCAAACTTCCCCAATACATTCGCTCAGAAACCCTGGCCGCACTTTTTTAGAAGTTAACCCAACTGGCTTATACGCATCAGCTAAGCCTTATGAAGGAAAGCAAAAAAATGATTGTTGGGAAAAAAACAGTGGGGTTAGCTTGACCCTGCCAGAACCCATCACGCTGACTGTCAAAATTGCCACCAGAAGGGTACAGAAAACAATCAGTGTTTGACATGAGACATTGTACCCTCGTATTAGAGTTGGCTTTGTGCTTACTTTCAAGGGGGTGCCGTATTTTGGTGTGCAAACCATAACACTAAGTCTAATGCTCTTGAATTTAGCCAAAGGCCACTTGTAATTGAGGGTGCAGTTATTCTCTTGTCAATCCACGACCAGAAGTTTAAGCAACAACTTTCCAGCCATTTATCGGTAGCCAATTATTTACCCTCTCTAACCCTTGTTCACTCTGTCAAAAAATGTAGTTTACCGTGGAGCGTCGCCAGGCAACAGACCAGTGACAGCTGGTCCAGTGTCGATCGCCAACGCAAACTCCGTTTCCTGGCTTGTCCGAGGCACCTTCCCATAACAACGCAGACACTGCCGAACAGCCAGGGAACAGTCCGCCACAGACTGTGCCTGTCTTGCAGCACCTCCGCTCTCTGGATTACCTGCCATGATCACAATCGTTCCTTTGAAAGAGAGGATAAACATTATATCGGATGGGACTCAGCAGGGTTCGAAGGAGGGAGGGGTTACGATACAGTTCCCTCCTAGCTGCATCGAACCCTACTGTTGGGGAGTAAATCAAGATAAGTGCTGGTTCTCCCTCGCATGACGAGCAACTTGAGTGTATCAAAACTGGGGGCACATCGGTATCAACTTTACACGGCGGATTGTTCTTTTTAATGTCATCGCATATGTGTGCATGCTAACTATTAAAAAAGAATGGTGAGCACATAAATGCATATAAACGTTAAAAAATCTTTGGCACGACTGACTTTAGAGTCCCGAAAAATCCCGTCGACTTATAATAAGAAACTACTTTTAATGTTTCAGCAGCCCAACTTTCAATTTTTTCGTTCAATTCCACCGATAGGAGGTTGAATTTCCGTTTTCTTTAAATTCCGCCTAATAAGGTCAAATTTCCCTTAACTGGCATCCGTATCCAGCGCAACAGGACTTCATGTTGATGGAATTTTTATCCTATGTTAGCATATTAAAACAAATATAACCTTACTGAATTTAATATTTTTTGATCACTTCCGCCACAATTACACATTCATTTACGCTCACTAGCCCAGAATTTAACGTTTGACCACAAAATATGTTAAGCAATTTGGCAAGGGGGATAGATATCTATAGGGGCGCTACAAGTCAGTTTTGTCCAATCTTTAATATAAAACAGTAGTTTGAATACTCACCAATGACGAATTAGCTGTAAAATACGAATAAAATAACGAAAGTGGCTCATGGAGTTACCACCCCTCAGAATTCCCCTCTGCAGGTAGAGGAGACTATCCTGTCGCGGCCTGTTTGGATTGTAGTTCATGCGAGAGGTTGGATTTCCAATACGAAAAGCGAATTATTTTGCTCTGCTGATGCTTTTTTTTCATAGTGGTTTAGAGGATTCTGCATATATTCATGACTGCATTTTCGCAATTTATGTAATTTTGCAATTATGCAACCCATAGCGTTTCCGATAAGATAAACATTGTGAATGGGTATCGCATGTTTTAAAGGCATAGTACCATGCATTACATAGCATGAAACGTTTTAAAAGGAAAGTTAAGACAGCGGGCTTCATCTATATAATGTATGATTAAAAGAACGTCTATAACAGTTACACCACATTCTCGAACGATTAGGTTTTCTGACAATTATTACGGTCAATAAATCGCCTGGGGTTAACATATAGCGGTCTGGGTGCCAGGGGAGTACCAACTTAACGTTTGCCTGGTGTTCGTATCTGTGAGTGCATCAATTAGCTTTCGGAAGATGGTTCAGTATACTGGGGGAAATAGGAGTTGGCCACTGAGCAACCTGTTGAATAGGTGCCGTGTGAAGCATGCTAAGAAGAAGACGCTTCACAGACAAATAAGAGATTCCAAAGGCAACATATGGCACAGGTCCTGCATTTTCCACAGCTGTCCCTGTCAGGTATACATTCAACACCTTTAGCGCGTTCTCGCGTGTTTTTATGTGTGAAAAACATTTAATATAGTCTCCTTTTTACCCAGTGTAGAAATCCTCAGAACATTGTGTTCCTCAATAATGTCACACACGAGTCTGTTCAGACGATTAAGTGCAGCAGCAATCTGAAATTATCAAGAGGACAAAGTCAGCGAAATAGCCGTCCAAAATACTTTATTAAGACCAACTACTAATGTATTAAATAAAACGTCTCCCTCCTTCTGAACAGTCAAAGAGGTTGTTTACTATCGTAGATGTTGGCCTCCAGAGCAGGCTGCATAATCTGCATGCTGGATCAAAACGAACTTCAGGTTGGTTGCTCACGACCTGTGTTAGTTAGGCTGCAAGGAGTTGGCGCAAGGCCACATATACTGCCGTCACTGCGTGAGCTGCTACGCCGGTCTTTTAAAGACCGTGAATGTAGACTCTGTCGTACATTTCAGATACATCAAACTGACTCTTAAGCACTGGCAAAACCGCGCCAACTAAGTTTCCTCCGTCACTATTTAGTCTTATTAAGTTAACGGCCAACGCTGCGTGATTGTGTCTCGCTCATTTTCATAGACCATCTCATCCATAGCTCACCACTTCGTAAAAAAGACATCTTTCGTTTTTTTGTCTGGTCCTGGGTAAGCGGTGAACTTCTGTCTCCATGTCTTTAGTTTATTTCTTAACTATTGCTCTGTGCATCAATTCATACGCTATGTCTTGATGTTGTATGCTCCTTTCAAAAGTGATATACATGCACACTTTGCCAAATCCAACCTATCAACGATACTCGTAGGTGTAAAGCTCAATGGTTGAGCAGTGCTTGCATATGCAGAAAAAAGAATTTCAAATGAGAAAAGTGAGAAGGATTTAATTATTTCTCACCAGCTGACCGTCAGCAGCCAGCCATATGCAGCCACACGTCCGCCGCAGGGCGGAAGTCCTGACAACGCTACTCTGTGGCTGCCATAAAACCGAACCACTTCAAACGTAGCTGTCTCTGGAGACTATCGAATCTGCTATGGAAGATCAGGATCCCAGACACGGAAGTACTAGAACCGACTTAAATCCTAAAAATCCACATCGTGCTGAGATAACTGCTGTCGTGCTCGAGCGGCCACATCATGTAAATGCATAACGAGTGTCTTCCAAAATGACTATTTTATGACGACGTTGCTACGATTGCTCACCGACAAGGGGACTAATAGCGACGCTACAAGTACACCCTGGAGATCTCTGTTAAGCATCTGCAAATCAATTCGGAGACCTAAGAGGACTTTGCGGTGATTGAACCAGCCTGGAGAAGAGCAGTGAAGACTGGATCTGCAATCTGTAAAGCTAACAAAACCATCGCTGTCAAAGTCACAAGAAAGGCTCACAAGTCTCAAGCGCCCCTTATCCACAACCCCAACCCTTCCATCGTGTCCACGCTGTCAACGGACATCCCGTGCCCGGATCGGCCTTATCGACCATCTTTTGACGCCACCTATTATCTCTAAGAACACCTCCGTCACTGACGGTGACTACAATGGCAACAACTGCCAGTTCCGAGACCAGCGAGGAACCCTGCGTCACCCCGCAATCAACCACCACCATTTTCATCACCGATCCTACCACTAGCAATGCGGACTTGGTCTCCAACACTCCTCATTGCAACCGCAC